CACACCGATCGGGTCTCAGATAAACTCCTGTTCCAAAAATATCTGAGAGGCAGAAAGCATGGTTCAGAGGCCTTTTGTTAGCAGTATATTCCCTCCCATTCAGTATAACCCCTCTTATATTCCTTAGACCAATCAGCACACAGGATATTCAGGATCACCTTATATGGGCAGACCACATGGCATTTACAGACAAAGGAATGTACTATCCACTCCCACACATGCTCAATATACTGATGACTCATCCAACTGTTTGTAATCAGATACTAATTAGCATATGCCTTGTGGAGATTTCGGCCTACTAAATTTTGACCATGCTGGAATCCCATCACATTCCCCCCTTTGATGCCTCTGATACAAAGTTATACAAGATGCATCACTAACCATAATTTGCCAACACCACTCAAGTAGCCATGGACCAGAACAGACCTTGTAATCATTTTAACTGAACTTCGTGCTCTCTCAACATTCCTCATCCTGATTATTCTCTCTCTGGGCTAGAGGTTCATACTTCCAGACAGCCATTACATGAGTAGCTGTCTTTCTGTCTATAGTACTCTCTATGATACTATGTATAGATCTGACCACTAATGGAATTAGGCAGGGCAGAAAGAGACATAAGAATATAATGAATATTACTCCTCCTACTATGCCTTAATCCCTCCAAGCTGCTCATACCAACTTCCAAACCAACTACTAGGATTATATCCATTCCAGACCTGAGTCAGTACATGCGCAAGTTTAACCATGTGGCTTGTAAATTCAGCCACTGCCCGCCCTTCATCATCTATGTGCAAACAACAGTTGCTAAGATTAAACTTTCCACATACACCTCCCTCTACTGCTAATAAGTAGTCCAGAGCTAATCTATTTTGATAGATGGCTGATCTCATCCGAATATTTTGCTTAGCTAGAAGATTAAGTGCTTGCGCTGTTTCATTGGTGATAATCTCAACCACCGCCTGTAGTCTTATAATACGGTTGAGCATATATTTTGGGGTTCTATATCCATAAGTACCATCTTCAGCCCAGGTAGCAGGTCCATAGTAATTTATGATACGTTGGGGAGGCCACTCATCTTCCCAACTATCTATATTCAATGAAGCTTGCTTCTTTTTATGATTCACATCATAAACCTTAACTCCCAATGTCTCTCCTGTTTCAATTGGCAACAAGAAGAAGGATGGTTTGAGCGTACCTAGTACACATGCTCCCTCCCAATCTTGTGGTAACTCTGAATATGCTTTCTTACCACAGATCCAGTACAAATTCGCTGGGGTTTTCCAATTGGATGTAGCAGATAAGTCAAACCATACCTCTTTTAAATTGGTGTAATTGGCAAAAGGATTAGTAGGTTCTGAGACATTTGAAGCTAACCACCAAGTAGTATCTTTTGTATCAGCATTCTGTCCTAAGCAGGTTAACTCTCCAACAGATGTATTATACAGTGGCCCTCTTCTAGCTAAACATACATGGCTTATGATAGATGTTTTTAAATGCTATTCTGATTTATCTCTAGTACTTACTTGATGATCAGACTGTGAAAGCATCTGTTGTTCATCTGTCTCAGAACCAAGGTACCAAACCTCTCTTGCCTCCCATGGCCATTGGTCTCCCATATTAGTACCTCCACATACAAAGCAGTTAGTTATATTAAGACTACCTGCAATACTCTCAGCCAAATCAATAAATAGGTTCTTAACATTATGGGGGATTTTATCCTCAACACTCATCTCCTCATAGAAGGAATGAAAAACCTGATGAGTTTGAGAAGCTGTCGTCTCAGTTTCAAGTCCTACATATATTATGGTCCCTGGATCTACTTCTGTACCATGTATTTTGAAACCCAAAGAGATTCCCAAACTTGTCAATGAAGTGCTGTGGATTGGAAATGGTCATATGCACAGGGTTACACTCCATAGTTTTACAATACGGTGCAGTGGGCAACCTTTGGATAATCATATCTTGATCTACTGTCTTTCCCCAGGTCACCCAACCAACACATGACCAATAGGGGCAGAAGTTAAAGTCTCTATTTGGGCAGTCAGGATCAGTAGATCTTTTACTGGGACATAAATATTTATCATTAAACCCATAAGTTCGTTCCCATTTAAGATTACCACATACATTCCAAGGTTTTCCACTATCCAAGATCGCCTTACATGCATCAAATAGTAGAATGCCCATAGAATGTATGGTGCTTATCACAGTCTTATTTATTATGGTCCCATGGGAGTTACTGTTCCAAATTACCAACCAAATTGTACGGGGTTGGAATTGGGGATCGAAACACTTGGGCTCACCTGATATCGGTTGACACACACTATAATCAGTATCTAAGTACCTACACCTAGACACAGATCCTTTACATTCATATTGTGAGTGCCAAAATAGGGTCTGGGATATCTGGTTACCTGTTTCCGTAGTCTTAATACAACTAACACAGCTTGGAATATCCTCACCTTTACCCTCCTGAAAAATTCTAAAAATACCAAAGCACATAATTAAACACATTATTCTTGCGGTCCTCATCTTTATTCTTCGACCGTGCGACGGCACCTCAGCTTCCTGCTTGTGAGGGCTGCAAGGATTGTTGTACTTCTGATCCTCACCTTCACAGAGGTCCCTTCGAGACACATAGGCAGGTGGTCAGGCTTTATTATGGCCGTCAAAACACCTACTTGCTGATCTCTGATGTTACTTTCAACCACGATTCTTCAAAAATCACCTCATACTTCTCAAGTCACGCTCAATTCGACTGGGTCATGCGCTTCAACCGGATCTTGCAAGGATTCTCACGATCTGGAGTAGCTTGCCAGGAATCAGCCGCTGGTTAAACCCTAGAGTTATGAATCCAAGGAGTCACTTCCGCCACATTTACAGCTGTTGGGGTAGATAAAAGAACAACATACGAAGGCTAACAGGATACACCCCAAGTTTTAACTCAATATGTATCGTGGGATGTTACGAGCAAGTCCTGGAGGATTATTTTCTGCCCATACTCCTGGAATGTCAAATACAGATCCATCACTCTTTGGGTTTGCTTTTATTATTACAGAATAGAAACGCCATTCTTCTTCTTTTGGCACCAATACTGCTATTATGCCAGGTGATTTATTAAACTTCAGAGACGTTGATCCATTAATTAGAAAAGTTATCTGAAGCTTTGATAATAGATCTCATCCTAGAAGTTAAACTGGACACTCCGACATGTATAGGAACTGGTGCTTAACAAAATGGCCTTCTAAAATGCATGTACGACTCCTGAGAATCGGTCTAGCAGTGCTTTTCCCAGTAGCTCCTATCACAGTTATAGTCTTCTCAGAAGGAAGAGCTACCAATTTGGTCACCACAGAATGTTCAGCACCTGTGTCAATCATGAAAGGACTTCTCTTTCCCCCTATTGCTACATCGACCATAGGCTCCGCTCGGCCAAGGGGGATGGAGCCCAGTCGGTATCAATAGTCTTCCATGACAGTGTCAGCCAGACCTACAAAAATCTCTATCTTCCCTAACCCTAGGTCTCTGGGTAGGGGGATAATATCTACCTCCCTGAACACTCCCTTTGCTATTCCCATTATTCCCTCCAAAACTTCCTCTACCTAGTTCTCTATAGCTGCTACCATAACCACCTCGCCCTCTTCTTCCTTCTTGTCTCCCACGTGCAATATATCCCCTCTGTGGACAGTCACTCTTCCAATTCACTTCCTCTCTACAATATGCACATTGATCTCTACCTAGTGGTACCCTGCTCATCCTATTCTCAACTCCTCTATTCATCTCCCCTCCTTCTCTAGCTATGCCTGAAATAGCTACCACTAACATGTCCATTTTCTTCCTCATCTTACGTTCCTCCTCACGCTTTGTCTCAGTTTCCCTATTCATATACACCTTATTTGCAACCTCCATTAGCTGTGATATGGATATCCCTGCAAATCCCTCTAATTTTTGTAGCTTTCTCTTAATATCGCTCTGGGCCTGGCTGACAAATGCTGAGTCTATCATTTGGAAGTTTTCAGGGGCTTCAGGATTGAAAGGAGTGTACAATCTATTTGACTCAAGCTGTCTCTCATAAAAAGCACTGGGTGATTCATTAGCTTTTTGTAACACTTCAGCAGTCCTGGACATGTTAATCGCCTTTTTACCTCCTGCCTTCATGCCAGCAATAATGGCTTGTTGATAGGCCTTTAGATGGATCATGTCAGCGCCATTTATGTTCCAAAGGTCAGTAATAATTGCTGACAATCAGCCCAGGTGGGATTGTGTGTTTGTATAATGGAGGTGACTAAGTCAATCATGGCTTCAGGTTTATCGGTGTACGAAGAGTTATGGGTCTTCCAATTGAACAGGTCAGTTGTAGTGAAGGGGACATAGACAAACACAGGATCTGCCCATTGTATTTGCCATTTTCGTCAACGTGTGTTGGGCCCGGTGTAAGTCGGAGGGGCATGTGGCAATGTCGGGATGGAAGGGTGCCAGTCAATTGTCCGGTTAGTATGGGACTTTGGCAAGGCTGCTCAGTAATAGGTTCCGGTCTGGGAGTAGTAAGATAGGTGGAAGGGGGTGAGCTAATTTTACTAGTCAGCATTTGGCGGATGAAAAAAATAAAAAAAGTGTTAAACCAAAAACCTACCAGTAGGTGTCACCAGAGGGTAAGTAATTGTATCAAAATAATCTTTATGAGGGGCGTGGCCTGACAGCTCAACAAGACGGTCGCATGAGCTGTTAGCTCCTCCATGCATTGACCCTCCACAGCGATTAAACCAACATTGTTTGTCCCCAAACAGCCACAGAAACCTGCACTGACCTCATTACAGGACATGGCATCCAGGTCAGCAAAAAAAATTAAACAAAAACAGACTTTACTGCAGGTCCGGGCGCTCACCCAGCTGCGCCAGCAGGCCCAAGATGGCGCCGACACGCCGAGATCACCGGCGGCCTACTCGGACCATTACCTCAATCTCTGAACCATCTGAACCCTTGCCCTATGCTACCAGGTAGTTATGAAAACGGCTCCACACTACCCCTCTCCCTTCGTGGCCCAATGGCTCGCAGATTGCAATGAGCTGATAACAGACACAGAAGTGTTGGCGTCCCCAAATGCCCTCAAGGGCCTCACACAGTGCCACTCACACATAGAGGCCCACAAGAAGCTGGTATACAGGTGGTATTTAACGCCCCACAGACTCCACGCAAAGTCGGCGAAATGCATATTGGCACTCACCGCACTAGCAGTACGAAACCTTATAGCAAACCAATGGAAACAGCCACATCATCCCTCCAAAACCCACCTATTAACCAAAATCCACCAATACCACACGTATGAGAGTATGATACCCAAAACTGCTTTACAAAGAAAGTTCTTCCAGGAGTCCTGGTCACCATGGGCAGACTATTGGGATATGGTAAACACGATTTAAGGTGCCACAGCAATAACAAAAAGATTAAAGACAGTGTCAGTGCCACTGACTTGGTACAAACCTTCGATGCCACAAGCATAGAGCTCTACACCCCAAATAGACGCAACCTCCCCCCCCAGATACCATAGAGGCCTTCACATACAGAATACCAAACCCAGCTACAGGGTAGACCTATCGTAACACATATGTATCTAATATGTATCACTCTTGAACACTACTGCTTAATACCTCCAGAGGCTATAAAAAAACTAATAAATACCACCCCACCTTCCCTACCCCCCCCACTCCTTTTTCTCTCTTCTGTATCTCCCCCCAGTGTACGCTCCCAGTTGAAAACCCAACTCTAAGCTGAAATAAACTCCACTAGAATGGGGAAGTCACCTATAGACCGGCTTGAGATTCACAAGGTTAAGTAACCCCAGGACACAATGTGCTATACACAAAGAACATACCCATGCGACTCCAATACACTATACGATTCCGATTATACGCATCTCAGGGACGACCTTCTCCTCTTCTATACTGCATGTCAACTGTCATGCAGATATAGATACTTACAAATGTTATTCTGTTAAGGCATGTTTAAAACAGAGACAAATGCTGTATAACTTGATACCCTTACTTGTCCCCCCTCTTTCTTCTGTACCCCATTAACTTTATGAAAATAAAAGTTGTCAAATTAAAAAAAAACTTTTTTTGAGTAAAAAATACAAAAAATAAATATGTGGAATGTATTTAAAAATTGAGTAAACAAATAAAATTTAAAAAACCCTGAAAAAAAAAATCTTTATGGGTCTAATAATAAAACTTAACTTTTAATATATTTATACATAAAATAAAACCTTATAGCAATAAATATATTAAAATAGGGTAGGCAATCCTACTTCTGTCTGTTGTATGCTAGTATAGAGTTAAAGATGATTAAACAATGTAATATCAATGTAACTCCAGAAGATGGCCAGTAGGTGGCCCTAGAGTGCCTCCCTAAAGTCTAATGAAGCAGATAGACTTTAATTATGTGCTTATTTTATTATTGTTTATTTTAATCACCGTTCACCCTGATATCTAGGCTTGAGTAAAGCTTTAGTTCTATGGTAAATTAAACATCTCAGTTTGTATTTTAGTAAAGGGGATATTTTGGACAAAGTTGGGAGGGGCCCATCCAGTAACTAAAAAAGGATAAAGTGTACTCTAGCATCTTATACCATTGATCATTTCTTAAAGTTGTATTTTAGACTGTCACTGAATGCACACAGTGTTCAGTAGTTTTAGTGCTATTTCAATGATTATGGTACAATGTCATTGCTGAGAATTATCTGACCCAATAGATTCAGTTACTGTTATTAAGAATTCTCCTCACAATTTAACTGTTAATAAAATTCAATGCTAAAATACACTCCTACCAAAAAGGAAGTCAGTTCAAATTACAAAGAACCAGTGGGGGTTGGTACAGAAATACAAGAGTTTGAAACAAAAGAACAGATAGGTATGTGGGTAGGCGGGGACAATAGAGCAGGGGGAGTGCAAATATCAGCTATACCAGCTTTAGCTTGGGAGGAAGAGTGGGGGAGTGGCTTCTCTGGCTCTGGAGGATGAATAAGGGGGTTGGCAATCAGATGCAAGGGGGGGAGGTGTCCAAACTAGGTGGAATTAAGGCCTTAGTTCTGACCACCATGTGACTCCATCGTTCCTTATGACACAGTTTAATTCACAATGCAGTTTTTCAACAATTGGTTTCCAACAGTCAATATATGGAAACTGATCATAGAATTCCGGCCTACTAGTTACAGCCACATGTACACCCTGCACTAAATTTAAGTCAAGACTGCCACGTGGAGGCCATGCGGCCACCAGGACAGGCCACTCCCTACTACACAGTTTTTTTTTTTTAATTTAACATACAAGACAAAGGACCAACAGCCTTGTGAATGAGAAGATGGTTTCAACAGAACGTCTGATTCAAAAGCTGTACAAATATACACACAGTTTCAACAGTCACACCAATCTCCTTATCACCAGCACCACATGGCACAGTTACTAGGCCCAAACACACACGTGCACGCACACAGGATCCTCACATGCTCAACAATATCACAACATTGCACACACAAGTAAAATCAAGACTCACCAAACACTATATACCAATCAATGCAACTATTAAGTAAGTCATACAATTGTCCACACAATTAATCAACATTTACTAACCGAAAGCATAACATTTCAACAATTGTCTCTACAGTCAGTGGTTATGGTACGGTTAGTAACTATTATACAGTTTAGACAAGTATGACTTTAAAGTTACAATATCAGTTAGTAAACATGCAAGGTTAAACAGTAATTTTAGTATTTTTCACGTAATATCAGTAATTATGGTACAAGTTAGTGGTTATGGTACATGTCAGTGGTTATGGTACCGTGCGCTATTTTACACTATACACACAATTTACACGTCAAACGGCAGAGTTCAAGCTTTCTAGCAGGACATACATTTCACCAATTACAGCGTATTTTACAACATTTACAGCAAACCCAACTACTCTAATTGGCCAGCACCTCGAGAACTATCGAACTATTTACACCAGGATTCGGTTAGTCTACACTGCCCAAGCACCACACATAGCAAACTAGTGGGAGGAATTTACAACAGTACCCATTTAGTCTATCTACTCTATCAATAGTCTAGTGGCTGAATTTACAACAGAGCACACTTAGCCAAGATAGTTTGAGAGCTAGCAGACAGAATGTACACCAGAATCTGCTTAGTCTCGCCGGCCTTCCCGGACCTAGCGACCGAAATTTACACCTAGACACGCTAGTCAAGACAGGACACCGGTGTCTGGCATAAACTATTTACACCAAGATTTAGCCTGACCCAAACAACCTATATTAGACGGGCTGACTACAGATCATCTAATTTCCAGATAAGCGGTGCGCTTTCGCTTCTTCCCTCCAGAGGGAGAGGGTAATCCAATAACCGGTTCCAAATATAAAACCCCTTGTGGGCCTACCGCTCTAACGGTATCAGTCTTACCTTTTAGTTCCTTTCAGTTGTAGTGAAGGGGACATAGACAAACACAGGATCTGCCCATTGTATTTGCCATTTTCGTCAACGTGTGTTGGGCCCGGTGTAAGTCGGAGGGGCATGTGGCAATGTCGGGATGGAAGGGTGCCAGTCAATTGTCCGGTTAGTATGGGACTTTGGCAAGGCTGCTCAGTAATAGGTTCCGGTCTGGGAGTAGTAAGATAGGTGGAAGGGGGTGAGCTAATTTTACTAGTCAGCATTTGGCGGATGAAAAAAATAAAAAAAGTGTTAAACCAAAAACCTACCAGTAGGTGTCACCAGAGGGTAAGTAATTGTATCAAAATAATCTTTATGAGGGGCGTGGCCTGACAGCTCAACAAGACGGTCGCATGAGCTGTTAGCTCCTCCATGCATTGACCCTCCACAGCGATTAAACCAACATTGTTTGTCCCCAAACAGCCACAGAAACCTGCACTGACCTCATTACAGGACATGGCATCCAGGTCAGCAAAAAAAATTAAACAAAAACAGACTTTACTGCAGGTCCGGGCGCTCACCCAGCTGCGCCAGCAGGCCCAAGATGGCGCCGACACGCCGAGATCACCGGCGGCCTACTCGGACCATTACCTCAATCTCTGAACCATCTGAACCCTTGCCCTATGCTACCAGGTAGTTATGAAAACGGCTCCACACTACCCCTCTCCCTTCGTGGCCCAATGGCTCGCAGATTGCAATGAGCTGATAACAGACACAGAAGTGTTGGCGTCCCCAAATGCCCTCAAGGGCCTCACACAGTGCCACTCACACATAGAGGCCCACAAGAAGCTGGTATACAGGTGGTATTTAACGCCCCACAGACTCCACGCAAAGTCGGCGAAATGCATATTGGCACTCACCGCACTAGCAGTACGAAACCTTATAGCAAACCAATGGAAACAGCCACATCATCCCTCCAAAACCCACCTATTAACCAAAATCCACCAATACCACACGTATGAGAGTATGATACCCAAAACTGCTTTACAAAGAAAGTTCTTCCAGGAGTCCTGGTCACCATGGGCAGACTATTGGGATATGGTAAACACGATTTAAGGTGCCACAGCAATAACAAAAAGATTAAAGACAGTGTCAGTGCCACTGACTTGGTACAAACCTTCGATGCCACAAGCATAGAGCTCTACACCCCAAATAGACGCAACCTCCCCCCCCAGATACCATAGAGGCCTTCACATACAGAATACCAAACCCAGCTACAGGGTAGACCTATCGTAACACATATGTATCTAATATGTATCACTCTTGAACACTACTGCTTAATACCTCCAGAGGCTATAAAAAAACTAATAAATACCACCCCACCTTCCCTACCCCCCCCACTCCTTTTTCTCTCTTCTGTATCTCCAAGTGTATGCTCCCAGTTGAAAACCCAACTCTAAGCTGAAATAAACTCCACTAGAATGGGGAAGTCACCTATAGACCGGCTTGAGATTCACAAGGTTAAGTAACCCCAGGACACAATGTGCTATACACAAAGAACATACCCATGCGACTCCAATACACTATACGATTCCGATTATACGCATCTCAGGGACGACCTTCTCCTCTTCTATACTGCATGTCAACTGTCATGCAGATATAGATACTTACAAATGTTATTCTGTTAAGGCATGTTTAAAACAGAGACAAATGCTGTATAACTTGATACCCTTACTTGTCCCCCCTCTTTCTTCTGTACCCCATTAACTTTATGAAAATAAAAGTTGTCAAATTAAAAAAAAACTTTTTTTGAGTAAAAAATACAAAAAATAAATATGTGGAATGTATTTAAAAATTGAGTAAACAAATAAAATTTAAAAAACCCTGAAAAAAAAAATCTTTATGGGTCTAATAATAAAACTTAACTTTTAATATATTTATACATAAAATAAAACCTTATAGCAATAAATATATTAAAATAGGGTAGGCAATCCTACTTCTG